ATATATTGGAACTTTCCGCGTGTTGGAGTTCCAGCATAATATGTTGGAAGTCCATGCACAGGTGCACTGATCTCCAGTATATTATACTGGAACTTTTCGTGTTGCAGCAAAATAGTGACTATTTTTTAATGACTTTGCAAACGCTGGCTATTTTTAAATGGCCAGTCCGACAACTGACTAGCCCGTGCTATTTTAACTAAAATTACTAGTACATGAAAGATCCCCCTCGCCCCAAATTTGGGGCCTAAAGCCACTGCTTGGGTTACTTTGCCCTTCAGCCGACGCTGATCATTAGGAACTCAAATTATTGGACCAATAATATTGATTTTAAAAATTTACATCCAACTAGATGGTGTTTCAGTATTCCTTTCTTTCTTAAGTTTGACGCAGAGTAATATTAATGATGAATAGTTGAATGTCCCCAACTCATTAATTACCAGTGGGCAAAAGGAATTAATTAACTGTATACATAATTGTCTCTTATCCCTTACCATGAACGCATTGGCTACATAAGTGCATATAGAATAAATGATTTTCCCCTTAATTATATTTCAGTGGGCAAAAGGAATTCACTTTTTTGTTTTTTTTGCTTTTAAGTATTCGTCAAATGGGAGAATTCATTTGTTCAAGTCATACATACCAAGCATTATCGCTCTTAGAACCTTCTTTTCTTTGCTACATTTGTTATTTTGGACTTCTTCTAAATCTGTTCAAGGAATGTCAGATTGATGTGATTATATTATAATGAACGTATATATAGAAAATTTAGTTGAGATGGCGCATTACCAAATCGTAAAGTATAATGCCATAAGCTGAAAACCGAAATAAAAAAAGATCAAATCACATGTACCATATGTTTATTAATCGATTGACAGGCTCCCATTTTCATACTAATTCAACTCCTACATTAGACCGTTGACATCTTCAAAGTCCATCATATATTCTGGTACCTATATACACTTCTATGTTTAATAGCCTGTTTGGCCAAACTTCTGCAAAAAAAAAAAAAAAGAAGTGTTTTTTCTTCATAATTACAGTGTTTGGCCAAGCTTTTAGAAGAAGAAAACAAGTGCTTTTGAGGAGAAGCAGAAGCGGTTTTGGAGAAGCAGAAAAAAATAGCTTCTCTCCAAAAGCACTTTTTTGAAAAGCACTTTTGAGAGAAATACACTTAGAAACAGTTTTTAAAAGCTTGGTCAAATACTAATTGCTGCTCAGAAGTGCTTTTCAAATTAATTAGTCAAACACAAACTGCTTTTCACCAAAAGTACTTTTGAAAAAAACACTTTTGAGAAAAAACACTTCTCAAAATAAGCTGATTTTTGCAGCTAGGCCAAACAGGCTATAAGGGTGCTTATCGAGCGGATATTTAAGCTTAACGGTTTTGCTTATCGGTTATCAGTTTGTAAATGTAGTAATCCGCTAGCTAACCAATAAGACATCAGGCAGATTGGTATCGGATTAGCAATTATCGGGTGGTTATCGGGCGGTTTATCGGCTAAATTAAATAGACAATAAAAAAGAAGTAGAGAACTAGACAATAAATTAAATCTAGTTCTTTAATATTTACCCATGTGAATTCTCTAATATTTTTGTACATCATACTTAAATTGATATGGCTAAACCAATTATGCCAACTGAATAAATTATCAATATTGATAAACTTCAGATTTACACCATAACGTGTGCAATTATCAATAAACTCAAGTTTATTATGATATGAGTTTTTATATCAATAAACATCCACTTTATTGTGGTATTCTTTTATTTGTGCAGTACAAACTGGAGAATGAAGCAGGTAACTTTTCACATACATATTAGCCCGCTACAAGTTGTAGTACTAGAAGATATTAAATCTTTCCTTTATTTATTGTCTCAATATGACCAACCGCTTTCACGAATACTTTAGAAACTCAACTAAGTTTCTTTGAGACTTATTACAACACAATGCCTTATTGATAATCAATTTTATTCCTCCAAAAGAGTAATAATTGGCTCTTCCAGAGCTCTCAATTAATTTGGTACTACCACATATTCATCAACATCCATATGGTGAATATCTCTTTTAAAGAGAAAGTTATACCATTATGGTTATGGTCAAAATTATATGCAAGATATGTTTCTTGCATTAATGTTATTCTTTAATAATAACATTACCAAAATATTTTGGCGTGCAATAGGTGTGTGACCAATGACCATTCATGCCATAATAATGACATTATTTTCTTATTTCCTCTCAAACCTCCTTCTAGAGGTGAGTGTGGTATATACCACTAGCATGCTCATATTCTTCCAAGAATGAATATGTATTCATAAATCTTTGTCACATTCACATCATGAATAGACCATAATCATCTATATGTGCTTTACAAAATCTCATGTCAAATCGATGACAAATATTACTTTCACATAGTGAAGGATTATTTTGAGAATACTTGTTGTTCTCATTACCACAATGATGACGATTATAATTTCTTCTATTGCCACGTCCACATTCATTGATACATTCATGCTAATAGTTTTGTCTTCTTTCCGATATATCACATACTGCTATCATATTCTCTTAAGGGAATAAGAATGAAGCAAATTCAATGGGACGGGTTTTCAATTCTTTGCCCGCAATCATACATGAATTTAGATCATGGCAAGACATAGAAATTTTACCATTTTGGATGGTTATAATTTATTTCAAACTCCATTAGAGTTACAATTAAAATTTATCGTCTTTGCTTGTGTTTAAAATTGAATTATAGAATGTCAAAAATTTAAAAGAGAAAAATAAAGTAAAATATTTACCTTAAATCCAGAATTTAATCATGAAGGAAGTTCATTGAACAATTGACAATAATTATGCTCAATCCCAAAGCTTCTACTCAATTGGTTAGAGTCTCGTGCTGATAACATGTTATAAAACAATAAAAGAAGAAGAGTAATGCACAGAAAAGTAGAGAGAGGAAATTCTTATTGATTTTGGGATCAATTACAATGGAATATGACCCTTCTATTTATAGGGAAAGAGTGACTTAGACACCAAGTAAAATCCCTACAATCTCTCTAAAATATAGACATTTATCATAAATAAAATACTATTTATAACATAAGGAAAAATTTAGGTCCAAATTTATTTATATAATGCATTCTAATCCATGTGACATGCAATATCCAGTACCAAGGAGAGTAAATAAGTATGTGGTATGAATAAAAAAAATTGACAACTCAACTGAATGAAAAATTATTTTTTACGAGGAAAACAAGTTAGTTAACTAATGCACAAACCAATCTCCTTCTTATCTCATAGAAAAATCCATGTGACATGTAATCCATGTCTGACCAAATCCATGTTTGAACTTTGAGGAGCTCACTATAGAGGGAGACAACTGCTGCCAGTGTTGAATTGAGAAATTAGGGATTTAGTGTTTCAATAGTACTTTATATGCATAGAGATAAAAGTATATATATAAAAATTCTTAATGGGTTAACGGTTTATTCGATAAGAAAATTGAGTGATCCGCCCCAAATCATTTAGCCGTTAATTATAAAATTTCAATCGGTTCACCAACCATTACCCCGATACCAATAAGTAAATTTTGCGATTCGGTTAACGATTACGATTAGATTTTGAACAATCCTACCTATGTCTTAGCATGTGTTAAGGATAAGGCAAAAGGTCGCACAACTAATTCAATCTTTATATAATTAATTAATATAACATTTGATTCTTTGGTATAACTAATGCGATGTTATTATTTTCAGAATTAAACAAAGGGAGTATTAAACCAGTATAACTTATGCCGACCATTCTCTTTTACAAGGGATAGAAAATGAAATAATAATAATATATGTATTAGCAATACATTTACAAGAGAGTGTATGAAGAATGTACTAATAAAATCATGCTTTGACACATGGATAGGTTATATTGCATAACGATATTGTTTGGGATAAGCTTATCCCAGGGATAAACATGCGACGGAACTCTGTACCTAGGTGAAATATTTTTGACTTTCTGGGGGAGACGGGAACAATGTCTTGGTGAAGTTTGTTCCGGGGATCCACTGATGAAGCAACAGCTCGGGGTCTTCAACTGACTCTGAGATAGATATTAGGGATCCATTTACATCCACTATACGCTAGATACTTCTTCCACAACCGGCAAGTAATGAGTAAGTTTGGTCGCCGTTTGTAATTCGGAGACGACCAAACTTACTCATTACTAAAGGCTATTATTGTATTTCTTGCCTGGCGATCGATCTTTACTTTGCAAGCACTGTAGCTCATAACGAAGCTCAATAACATCATTCTTTCTTTTGTTTAATGATTTTATTTATTGCTCATTTTGTTTAATCCTACCATTCATTCGACTATGTTTTGATTCGAACCGACTGCTATTGACCTCATAAAATATAAATTCAACAGTTTTATTCTACAACTATTTTTGGGTCAAGTATATGCTAACAAAATTAACAACTCAATTGAGATAAAAATTATTTTTACGAGGAAAACAAGTTAGTTAACTAATGCGCAAACAAATCTCTTTCTCATCTCATTGAAAAAACCATTGGACATGTAATCCATGTCTGACCAAATCCATGTTTGACTTTGAAGAGGTGGCTATTGAGGGAGACAACTGCTACCAGTGTTGAATTGAGAAATTAGGGATTTAGTGTTTCAAGTAGTACTAAAAGTATAAATATAAAAATTCTTAACGGGTTAACGGTTTACCCTATAATAAAATTGAGTAATCCGCCTCCAAATCGAACGAGAATTTTCAAGGGAAACCCTCTTATGCTAACATGATTACATCTTTGTCAAGTTCATCTCCGAATTCTATCCGTCACGAGAAAGAGGAGGATACTACTTAAACCTCTGCCACAAAGTGTTTTTGTTGGTCAAAAATTTGAGGAATCTCCTCTCAAGGGCTACACGCAAAAATTGGAGTATGAAGGGGTTCCTAATTATTGTAAGCATTGTAGAAAGATAGGATACTATATGATTAACTGCAGGGTTCTTGAAAAGAAGAAAGCAAAAGAAAAGGAAGAAGATGATCGAATAGAACTGGACAAAGAAACACAATTGGACAGTGTGATAGAAGCAAGCAAACAAGCTGTCAATGATAACAGGGAGAATCACAACTCTCCAAGCTTGGAGAGTGATCAAAATCAGCAAAAAGAGAATAGGGAGGAAACTAAACCTGATAATACCAGTAAGAAGAACAAGAGGAAGAAGACAAAAAAGATGTTGAAAAAGAAAAGCAAATTGCTCTTGAAACCTGTTCAGAGCAGTAACAAAAGGAAAGAACTATTTCCAAGCAGAATGATTGTCTAAGCAGGCTATAGAGGAGAGTATTTTTAGCCTGTTAATCATGGCAAAGTCCAACACCTAGATCAAGGCAATGACATTGATCTCAACAACAATGATAAAATAACTAAGGAGGATGATCTTAACACAAAAGAGGAGCAGCTAGCTCAGAACAACCCCAGGCAGAATAGCAATCAGGAAGTTAGGATAGAGGAGAAAGATAATCTTGAACAATACTGTTGTGACACTAACTCATCTACTGTTCCTACTGAAATAAGGAACCAACCTGGATTGCAGTTGGTTGTGGATCTATACGGGAACAAGAAAGATAGAGACAACTCTAAGCTGGTAGAAGATAACACAGACAATCTTCAAATGATTGAACACCCTTACCGTCAAAAAGAGGTGAGAAATGAGGACCTTGACTTTCAAAACCACAATGAAGAACAGCAACATATGACAAGAAGAAGAAGAAGTGAAACCAGGAAAAATGGCAAAAGGCACAGAAACAATACTCACCCTTCAATGAGAAGGAGCAAAAAGAAGGATACTACCCCTAATTGTTCTGACGATTAATACTATTTTCTGGATTATTAGGGGTTTTAGATCCAAAAAAGCCATTCTGTAATGACCTGACCTGTCGTTTTGAGAATTTAAGCTCTGTTCGGTGACGTAAGGTCTTGAACAACTTTATATTATGTGTATCGACTTGCATGCATGGTTGAATTCAGTTACCAAATGATTCAGAGTCGAATTGGAGGAAGGAATCTAGTTTTGGAGCTTAAGCGGTGATAATTTGATCGGAATTTGACTTTTGTGTAAATGGCTCCGAAATGGGTTTTGGATGATTTCAACAGCTTCTTATGGTGATTTGGGACTTAGGCGTGCATCCGGATTCGGATTTGGAGGTCCGTAGGGTAATTTGAGGCATTTCGGCGAGAGTTGGAAAAGTTGAAGTTTGGGAAAATGGAGAAGTTGACCCACAATTGACTTTGTGATATCGGGGTCGAAGTCGGAATGCAATTTTGAGAGTTGGAGCAGCTCCGTGATCTCATTTGGGACTCATCTGGAAAATTTGGTGTCATTCCGGGTTGAATTGATAGGTTTCGGCACGAGTTTTAGAAGTTGGAAGATTGAAGGTTCATAAGCTCGATTCATGGTGTGATTCGTAGTTTCGTCGTGGTTTGATGTGATTCGAGACCTCGAGCGGGTCCGTGTTGGGGTGTGAAACTTGTTGGTATGCTTGGACGGGGTCCCGAGGGCCCCGGGTGTATTTCGGACGAGTTGCGGATGATTTTACATGGTTTTGGGGAGGCTGAGTTCTGGTGTAATCGCACATGCGGACACTGGGCGCAGGTGCGATGGTCGCAGGTACGAAGGAGGAGGCGCAGGTAACAGAGGAGCTGGTTTTGGCAGTCTCCGTAGATGCGGAGAATTATATTGGAGCGCACGCGCGGTGCCACAGGAGCGGATCCTTGGGCGCAGAAGCAAAGTGGAGCGCAGGTGCGGTTGGTCGCAGGTGCGGAAGTCCTCGCAGAATCCTTTAAATCGAGGGTTGGCTATTTTTCTTCATATTTTGAGTTTTGGACTTCGGATTTGGGAGCTTCTTTTGGGTTTTTTCAAGCAAATTTATTGGGTAAGTGTTCTTCACCTAGAATCTAACCTATTCCATGATTTTATCTTTATTTTATCATTTATTTTGTGTTTTGGGTTGAGGAAATGTTGGTTTTTGAAAAAAATTTCTAAAATGAAAAATCATGATTTTAGGGACCAAATGGTATCGGAATCTGATGATTTTTATATGGTTGAACTCGTAACGGAATGGGTATTCAGTTTTTGTAAAATTTGTCGGATTCCGAGGTGCAGGCCCGAGGGTCGACTTTTGGAAAGATTTTTGGATTTTGTTAAAGATTGAGACTTAATGATCTGGAATAGCTTCTTATGAGTTTTATTTGTGCTTTGAAGTTAATTTGGTCAGATTTGAGCCGTTCGGAGATCTTTCCACCCGAGAAGTGCATTTTAGAGTATCGCTTTGTCGTCTTTGAGGTAAGTATCTTGCCTAACCTTGAGTGGGGGACTTCCCCTTAGGATTTGAGTCTTCTATGTTGATTGTAGTTCGTGTACGCGAGGTGGCGAGTGCGTGCTCGGACTTATTTGTGAATACTTGGCCTTTTAGGGTTCTTAGGTCCTTATTTTCACTGTGTATGGAGTTGTTCTTGATATGATTGAGTTCCTACCTGCTAGTTTCACATCTATATGCTTAAATTAGAATTTATTGCTTTAGGATTCACTCTTATTGCCTACTTGACTCTTATTTGACTTAACTGAAGATTTTACCTCTTCTACCGTCATGCTATATTTTTCATAAACTGCCTATCTTTAATTGAAATTATTATTATCTCATCCTATAATTGTTTAGCCTTAATTGAAGTTATGATTATCTTTTGCTGCTTACCCTTATTAGAATTTTTGAACATCTCTCATAATTGCTCAACCTCAAAAAGAGTTTAGATAACCTATATCTTAGTCGACTTGCTTTTATTTAGAACTATTTGACTCGTCAGAATGCATAAAAGGGAGGCTTCGCGAATTTTGGGCTACCTTCCACCATTTTTATCCGTATTTGGAGCTTTAGGGAGCACTTTGAAGAGGGATTCAAAGGGGTTTTCATTGAGGCGAGTAATTTGAGCCCTAATACTCGTGTTTATGGTAATTTCCCATGGTTTTATCATGTAATTAGTGGTGATTAAGGGTGAAAATGAGGGGTTAGGGCTTGAGATTTTGGAGAGTTTTGATTGAGGATTTGAGGGGTCAAATGAAGTCGGATTTTGATAAATCTTGTATGTATGGATGTGAGCACGTAATTTTGGCCACGCTTAAATTACTCCTATAAAATTCCTTAGAATTAAGATTTTTCTTTTATTATTTGAATTTTAGGAATTAATTGCATGATTTTGTAAAAAAAAAGAAAATAACAAAAATGGTTCTTTGCATTTCTACTTTTAATTTTTAGGATTTGTCTTAAATTTTCTTTTAAATTAGAAATTAGTTAATTTTGGTATAATTTTAGAGTCAATTTGGGTCTTTTGTTTTTTTAATTTTATTTTTACATTTAATACAATCAGAAAATAATAAATAAAAAAAGAAAAGAAGAAAACAAATGAAAAAGAAATTAAAATAAAAGGTTAAATAGGCTGCCAGCTTTGGGCCACTCTTTAATCCTAGCCCAAATGCCCAAAACCCCCAAATCCGGTCCCCAGTTTAAGCCCAAATCCCCACTAACCCGGTCCAGACCCCCATATACAAAACGACGTCGTTTCATGACCTGTGAATCATGACCGTTGGATCTCATCAATCCAACGGTCCAGAACTAACTAGGATGTTTGATATATATAAGTGTCCTAACTCCCCCCCTACCCCTCGTTCGTCGTCTCAGAACACCCCTAACATCACCACCGTCCCCCACCGTCTACCGCCGGCCGGAAATCGCCTCCGCCGGCGGCGATCGTCCAATGACACCCAAATTTACACCACTACACTGTCCCAGCCCCCTCATTACGAATCCGGCCATACTTTTCCTCAAATCACCTTCCAACTCTTCGAATAATGCAAACCGTGATCGCCGCCTCCGCTGCGTCCGGCGGCGGTCACCCCAAACCAGTCCAAAATTACACCAAGACTTCTCCTCACCCTCCTCCTTCCAAATCTACAGTCAATAGGCTTCAAATCTTCCTCAATCGGTTTGAATCTTAGATCGCAAATAACCCAGAACCCTAATTGCTCAATGTTTTGGGGCTTTTTGATTTTGGGGGTTATAATAGCCCTTAATCATGTGTTTTCTCATGAAAACACATGGTTAAGGACAATTATAATCCCAAATCACTCCGGAAGTTAGCCTTAATGCGAGTTTGATTCGAGAATTGGAGGTATTTCATCTTTTCTTTTACTTTATGTTTTTCTCTCGTTCGCGATTCTGACTTTTGTTCTTCTATGATTAGGGTCCTGATTGTAATAGTATAGTTTAGATATTTGTTCTTATTTGGTTTGATCCTAATTGAATGACTCGTTATCATTAGTCGTGTTGATTGACTTAGAATTTTAGGTTTTATTTTAATTCTATTGATTCTGTTTTGGTTTTAGTTTTTGTTTAATTTCTGTTCTGTTTTGATTTTATTTTTAGTTGATTTTGTGTTTGGTTTCGATTAAATCATCCATGATTGCTACTGTTAATTTGATTTTAGCTTCAAGTTTGGTTGCCATTAATTGTTAGTCTACTAATTGTTAGATATAATTTCATGATTAGTTAGGTGATTTGATTAGTTCAATTATTAGGTTTCTATTATAATTAAATTTGTTTGGTTATAGCTGAACACTCCAGGGCTTTTAGTTAACTATGGTCATTTTTTGACCGAGTTTAAAGTGCTGGGGATTAGTTAACAATAGTTAGTAATTCAGAACTAATTCAAGGGTAGTATAGGTTTTTAATAAAAGGAATCTTGCATTAACAGACTAGAATATTCTAGAAACTTCTAAAATAGGACCCCAATTGTTGTTTCAGAAATTTAGTGGTATAACTTGGGTAAGAAGTCAGTCCCTTGAGGACTTTAAGCTAAAAATTGAAAACTAATAAGGGACTAGAAGGTGTAAAGGAAAAATTTGAATGTTGCCCTAATGTTTGCCTATAAAAGGCATGTATTCTGCCTTCATTCACAAGTTTTACATTCTGAAAAATTCCCAAAAAACATTCCAGCTTTTAATTTTCTCCCAAAATCCAATTCTAAAGTTCTGAAGTTCAAATTTGAACTTCAAAACCTAAGGAAGTGAAAAACCTGCATTCATATAGTTCAAATTTTCTTCTAGATCTGAATTTCTGCCCAAAAAATCCAAAAACAACAGAAAACTTTCAAAAATCAAAAAAAAATGTTACATTGAAAACCTTAGGTTATTTGAGATTTTACTTGTTGATTTACACTTTCTAGCTCAATATCTGAATGCTGAATCCTTCTGAGTGTTACTGGGTTAATTTCAAGTGGGTTTGAGGTGTATTCAAGCTTTTTTTTTCGAGTGAACTAAGGGTTAAAATTGGTCCGGGTCAATCAATACTGCTGCTGGGTTATAACTGAATCCTCTACTGCTCTGTGTTGCTGTTTGAGCTTGTTTGCAAACTCAAATCTGCTGCTGATCACCTCTTCTCTTCTTTTGTTTCATTGCCCAGGTACACACTTGGATCTACCTTGATGTAACCTTCAAGTTGGAAATAGAATGAATTTGCTTCATTGATACCTGCTTGTTAGATCAGTTCTGTAATTAGATAAATGTTGTTTGTTGCATGTATTTGTCTAGTGTAGTTTAGTTCTGGTTTTGTACTAACATAAACAATGGACTACAGACTGCTATGTTTTCATTAGGATTGTTTCCATTGGATTAACTGACTAAGACTTGGGCTGTAGGCAGGCCTCCATTTTCCTTTCATTTGTTTCATTTGTGTCAACCTTAGTAATACAAAGCAGTAAGATATCATGCTCCATGATTAGTTAGGTTTATTATCATGTTTCAAGTTGTAGTTGATGTCATGA